CCTGTAGATTTCCAGAACTACACCGCTTGGATCCTCGAAGAAGAGGCCAAATTGGCTGCTGTGGCCAGTGACGAAGAGGAAGAAAAGAAAGAGGAAGCGAACTAGGCTTCTTCTAAACAGCCTCGCGCAAACAAATCATCCATCCGTCACCCAAAACAACAAAAGGAACTTCATCAGGACACACATACAAAATGATTCAAATCAAGAAATGGGATTTACTCGATACACGGAATGATACATTCAAAAAATTTAGCAATAACATCGTAACAATTACAACACAAACTTGTCGTCCACTTGCTACTTACAAACTCACGAATGCGCCGTCCTCCTTGTAGCCTCATCCAATAATCGTTACCTTCCAACACTGATACCATACTCGTTACGGTACCGGTAACGGTTCCGGTAACGGTACCGGTAACAGTAATGGTACCATTACCGTAACTGTCACTGAAACTCGGCTACCTGTCATAAGCCAACGAATCTGGAGACGAACGCTGAAAAAAAACCGAATTGTGGTGGTGGTTGGTTGGTTTTGGTTGGTTGGTAATCCTTAGGGTTAGAGTTTAACTAAAACCGAAGCCCCCTCTCTTGGGCCCCCACATTTCTTACACATTCTCTTTTATAGCAACGGATCCTGAATATTTTCCTCACATTTGCACACCTCTGAGCTCCCGTAAGCTACCGTGCCACTTTCTCAGACGGAAAAATCTAACGTCTCACGTTGCACACCTCTAAGCTCCCGTAAGCTACCACGCCACTTTCTCAGACGGAAAAATCGAACGTCTCATGTTGCACACCTCTAAGCTCCCGTAAGCTACCACGCCACTTTCTCAGACCGAAAAATCTAATGACACTACCCTCAGCCAAACTTCAACAATATTACTATGCCGGCCCATATTTTAAGTCAGCTCGCCCGGTATATTTATTACACCTCCGGTGTCCTTTTTCGTCTGTCGTCGTAACGTTTTTAGGGTTAAGGGTTACGGGTTACTCCAGGTTGAGACTTAAGTACCTGTACTGGTACTACTAGCTAGCTAAACTACTGTAGCAGTACCGGTACCGGTCATGGTGTACCGTACCGGTGCTTGGTACGAGTTTTGAGGGTTTTCTTGAGTTTATTAGGGTTACGATTATCCATTCTAGTAGCTTTAGCGTGGTTAGGTACGGTTCCGGTTCCGGGTCCAGGTACTAATAGCTCTAGCTTGGTACGGTGCGGTTCCAGTTCCCGATGCTAGTAGCTCTAGCTTGGTAGGGTACGGTTCCGGGTCCAGGTATGATAGTTTATCAGAGCCATGGTACTTTGACTGGAACTGGGTATTATGATGGAAGTTGGAGAAGATCTGAGAGAGTTTAGCGTGGTGAGGTACGGTTCCGGTTCCGGGTACTAGTAGCTTTAGCTTGGTACAGTATGGTTCCAGGTCCGGATACTAGTAGCTCTAGCTTGGTAGGGTACGGTTCCGGGTCCAGATACAGTAGTTTAGCAGAGCCATGGTACTTTGACTGGAACTGGGTATTATGATGGAGGTTGGAGAAGATCTGAGAGGACGGCTAGGGCTGTCACTGGCTGGGAACTGGGGATGGTACTAGTTTTAGGAGAACTGCTAGGGCTATGGTATCATTGGCTAGGAAGGAGCTGGGAGAACTGCCACGGAGCCACATCACTAGCTGGGAGAGTTGCTTGGTAGCTAGCTAATCCTAACTGGCTGAAGTCAGGATAGCTCTAACTGGAAGCAGTGCTGCTAGGGTTCCCTATCGTCGGCTTGCTAGCTAGTAAAGCAAGTCCATGCCAGTTGGCCAAGCAAGCAATTGACAGCCCTCATTTCAATTTGCGTGGTTGGCGCAACCGGAGGCCTCTTGTCCTAAGAAGAAAAGGGGGTAAGGCCGCTCTCTACCGGAGGGACTAAAGTAGCGACTAAAGGAATCCTTTAGGTGGTTGTTTAGTTCAAGATTTAGTCATTATCCTTTAGTAATGGTGGTGTCTACCAGCAGATGACTAAATCTCGGACTAAACATTTTAGTCAGTTCTTTAGTCATTTGGACCTGTCTACCCAGCCGACTAAACAAATTGACTAAACAATTCATGGGAACAGTACTGGACTTAAAGGACTCAAAAAAGATTTAACAAAAGTGATCACTTGGTGGGCTACCAATATTCTATCAGCATGGTGGATTTAAAGGACTCAAACAAAGACTTAACAGAAGTGATTACTTTTTTGAGATAACAAGACTGAGATAACAAGACTCAAAACACACCATTGCGACGGTTCGATCGTTTGCACCTCCTCTTCGATCGTTCCATCGTTTGCACCTCCTCTTCGATCGTTCGATCGTTTGCACCTCTACTATCGGCCGATACTCCTCATGGATCGTTCGATCGCACCTCTACTCTATCAGCTCTGTCGCAATGCTCTGATAGTGAGGCTGTGCAATGAGGCTGCTGTTCTTTTTTAAAAAGTGCTGTTCTTTTTTTAAAGTGCTGTTCTTAAAGAGTTCTTAAAGAGGCTTTAGTCGTTACGCTCACTCACCGACTAACCAGCCTCCCATTAGTCGGTGAACCAACCTTGTGACTAAAGGCTTTAGTCCTTTGGACGTTTAGTCCCTTGGGTAGACACCACCCCAAGAGACTAAACTATCGACTAAACCATGAAATATGGCTTAGTCGCTACTTTAGTCCCTCCGGTAGAGAGCGGCCTAAGCCTAGTAAGCTAGCTAGGCAGGGCAGCGGCTGCGGTGGTTGGTTTGTTTTGTTCGAAGAGGCTGTCAGAGTGGCGCCCTTTTGCTTCGCTGACACCCCTTTCGCTCATTAAGGGTGAGGCTACCGGTACGTAGAGAAAAGCCATCCGCCATCCCTTGCTCGATCATAGATAGATCTGTCTCGTGGCAGCCCGACCTCATTGGCACCAAGAACTTGAAATCCTTGCGATCATAGTTGCTCTGTGTCATTTTATTACCCTCTTAATCCAGTGCTCCAGGAAGCTCCAGAAGAAAGCGCAATTTCCCATCATGAATCTGTTTCCTTGCCTCCTTATCATGGCCTCTCTGATGCAGTCGACGACGCATGGTTTTCTGGCCCCCGCTTGTTATAATCTTCCTCAACCGACCACATACCGACTCTCGTTTCACGCTGCCATTGTCGACGAAGTAACGGAACAAATGAAAGTAGCCATGAAAGCCAAAGACACGGTCAAGCTGGGCACCATTCGACTTGTTAGATCTGCATTTGCGAATGCGGCCATCGGCTTGAAAGTCGATGCTCTATCGGATGATCAAGCCGTTGATGTGTTGAGAAAAATGGCCAAGATGAGAGCGGAATCAATCGACATGTACAACAAGGGGGGTGCTACGGACCGGGCCGAGGCTGAACAGGCTGAGTTGGATGTTTTAAATCAATGGTTGCCCTCCTTGGCTGATGAAGACCAGACTAGAGAGTGGGTCCTGGAAGCCATTGAGCAAGCCGGAGACAATTCCAATATTGGTAAAGTGATGGGAGCCTTGATGAAAGCGCACAAGGGAGAAGTGGATGGGTCTTTGGCACAAAAAGTGGTCAAGGAAGAGGTGGCAAAGCTATAAAAGATTTCACAAGGATCTGAGCGTGAAGGCAATGGTCCTGGCAACAACCAAGATTTGGGCTAAGCAGCACCGAGCAATGGAAGGAGCCCTTGATTTTAAGTGATGTAAAATCAAAACAAAGCTATACTATGTGTAAACAGTATGCTGTCTCTGGGTGACAACATGGTCTGCGAGATGACACTCGTCAAACGTGATGAATTGAACATAATTTTGCATGTCGACAAAAGTCAATCCATTCCTGGAGCAATGCCAGCATTTGGTGTTGCATTGGCGCTCACGGGTGGGGTTCAGGGAGATTCTGCTAGTCTGCTGTCAGATGGTTTGTAGGACTCGACTCGACTCTGCAAGCTCTTAAAATACACCGTACCCTACTAGTGGGCAAGCCGACTGTAGCAAAACGGGAAATGAACTGATCTGCGGGGTTGTTAAAACAACCCGGGGCTTTTCGCCTGGAAATCCTCATGAACATACGAGGAAACAGAAAAGACTTGTCAATCTACGGTCGACTAAAATCGAAGATTGCCAGCCCATGAGACAGGCTTATGGGTCTTGGGCGTGTCAAGCCACCTGCACAACAGCTACATGTAGTACGGGGGAATTCTACGGCACCGGTACGACCGGCAATGAAGCTCCACTAACTCCAGTAATAGGAAGATATTCATCTCATTCCATAACCACTTTTTACGAGTAGACCAGGTGAATCTATTAGTATACAGTAATAGATATAACAAATACTGCTCATTGGCATTGTGCAGAGTTTGATGATTTGATGAGACTGGAATGAACAACCAAAGAAAGCATTCTATCAACTGTCAGTACAACACACACAGCCACAATGATGGACCTACCAATCTGTATTGCCTCTCAGTTCTCAGCGCTGCATACTAGATACTAGACTATGCTCCGAGTTGTGGCAGTGGTAATACCGTTGCAATGTTGCAATTGATACCCGCAGCCTGCAGTCGTACAGCGGTACCATGGTACCGTACCGGTCATCGTGTGCTGTGTGATAAGGGGGCTGTGAAGCTTTTGTGGGACACTTGAACAGAGAGATTTAGTAAAACTCCTCTTCAGTCTTTCAGAAACATGTCTTTAAAGTCTGTTAAATCTAAAATGCACCAATCGTGTCTTTTTAGTATCTTATGCTAAGTACTCGAGTAATGGTACCGGTACCAGAGCCGTAATTTTAATAAAAAAGGCCGTACCGGTACATGTAAGGTACAATACCACGGCTAAACAATAAGATTTGCTCCTCGATCGATCGTTTCGCTACTAGCTAGCTAGCTAGCTAGCTAGCTAGCTAGCTCACTTCGAACTCTTGGGTTCAGTGCTACAATACTTTTCCTTTGAAATCGCAACATCGCAGCAGACCTTGAAGGAGTCATAATTTTGCCCTTGGCCGTCGATCAACTCATCAAATCTCCAACCACTTCAAACTAGCTACATTATCATGACCATGGAAGTCTTGAAACAACGAAGCATCAGAAAGATCGTTTCGCTCGGATCATTCCGCAAGAAACGGGATAGCCATGGCTCTCAGAACAGTGGATCTGTGCCTCGCACCTCCAGTTGGAGTAGTATCTTTAGCAGAGCCAGCGATGGTGGCAGCAGCAAAGACCTCAAAGACGATGTCAATGAGAGCACCGTTCCTCCCTTTGAACGTAAAATGAGCCGTATTCGCAAGGATAAGAGACAAAGAAAAGTCGTCCTCAAAGAGTTCGTCCAGAGATCCACAACCGAAGAAGTACTTAACCTCAGAGACGTGCTTGATCAGGAGGATAGAAGTTGGAGGTATGTCAAGTTTACCGACACAGTACGGGGTGAGGACTTCTCCAGCTGGCAGTCCAAGAGAAAGGTGATCTGCCGTCACTTACTGGAGGTTGCCGAAGACAAAGGTATCGACCTTGTATTTCAAGGCATGCTGGAGATCTCCTTCGATTCCATGACTGCGAAGCAGATAGGATCCTTGCTTACCAGCGTGTGCAGAGATTCAACGATTTCTGTTATTCGATTCTCTGGTGCACTCCATTCTCGAGACGTCTCGACGATTCTGCGAGCCCTTGCTGCATTGCTGACCTATGACGATCGTCCCTGGAACTCAGTGGTCTTGCAGGCTGAAATTGGAGAGTGCGAACTTGGTCCTTGGATGCATGCCATGAACAGAGCTAGTCGGTTTTTGGAAGACTTGGCCATTCGTTGCAACATCCCCATTGCTCTTGACATTTTTCACTAGCTAGCTAGTGAGAGTGTTGTTTTATGATTTATTTACAGTGATGAAGGGTTAGGTAAACTATCTACCGTATAGAATCATAAAGTCAAATTGAATTGAATCGAATCCAGTATATACATTTTGTACAGAGCACCCTGGTGGGCACGGTGCTACACTGGGCACACTCCAACCCGATGATCTTCTCCGTCCGTGGTTGTTGGCTCGTGATCGTTAGCGTCCAAGGGCCCATCAGCCTCTTCAGGCTGGACAAAACAGACAGGGATGTTGACTAACAGAAGCAAGGGAATGTAAAAGGCGCAAAACCAAGCAGTAGAGAACTCCTCGTCGTCCTTGGATTCAACAAACAAAACATAGGTCATGTAACCGAGCAGCAAGGCGTTGCACAAAGCTTGCAACAGAGAGAATCTCTGCCCAGGTTTGCGAAAGAACCAGGGCACATTGACAATGCCAAAGAGTGCAAAGACTGCAAACATCCAATTCTTTCCCGTGATGAACACACCGCTTCTGGCCGGGGTTGCCACCAGAATGATGGCGAGCGCAATGGCTCCTATATTGGTGGCTTGCCTGGCCGAGTCATAGGCTTGAGTGTCTGCTCGGCCATCACGGAGGCGCAACGCTCGGGCCGGAGTGCCATAGAGATCAAAGACGCGAGATCTGGTGCCTTGTTCAGGCTCTGTGGTCACGATAGCTGCGGTTTGCTCCTTGGTCCTGGCCAAAACGGTGACGTGGGGTGACGTTGTCTTTGATAAAACCTCTGCTACGGCACGGGTGTCTGATACGGACTGACCATTGACGGACAAGATACGGTCGCCAGGGTTGAGCAAGGAGTCCACCATGATCCCTTCACTGTCCACAGAGTTAATCACTGGTCGAGTCCGAGTCCTTCTAGCCCTCCGATGGGTTGGCTGGTTCGTCAAGTCTATTCCAAGTTTGGTAGACGGAGTGGGCCTCATCACGTAGCATTCCACGAGGGACCCATCACCTCTAGGATTTTGACATGTGATAGTCACGTGGTCTGTTGCTGTTTCCAGCAATCGCATGATTCCAGGAAGCTTCATTCCCAGGCATGCCTGGGAATTAATGCTAATCAATTTGTCTCCTTCTAGAATTGGACTATTTGCTAGAAGCCCATCTTTCTTGATGGCTGTAACCCCGAAAATATTCTCTTCTTCTTCCATGCGGATTTTGAATCCAAGGTCATCAGTGGGATTTTTGCGGATCACCCGTGCCGAGATGAATTGAGCTACGCGATGCTGTGAGACGGGGAGAGGTTCTTCGTCCTCATCAAAGCTATCTCCAACAGTTCGAACAGAAGGTTCATGGATAGGCGTGGCTTCCACATCTACACTCACCATCTGGGGCCTTTTAAACAAGACACTGTTGCGAATGGCCCTGGCAAGACGGACGCCTCCATTTGGACGTGCATCATCAGGTGCCTTCTCGTCATCCTCGTCCAGCTCCACAATCTCTGGAACATTAATGATTTCTTCTTGACGGTGCGAAATCTTGACTACAGGAATCCCCCTGATAGATTCGTCCAGAGGCTCTGCAATAACCGCCTCGGCTCTGGCAGGAAAATTCGACGGTTCGGGGGGAGATGGAGCCTCCAGATCCAACAAACTGTCAACCTCGTCACCACGGTGGGGATCGCTGATCTCAGGGTCATCTGTTGCTGCTCCCCATTCCAATTCAGAAACGTGGATACTGGTCGCTTCTTCATCGTCTGAGCAGTGCACTACGACTGCTGCTGCTTGCTCGTTTGTTTCCTCTACTAATGGATCTTGTCCATCGTCTTGCTCGTTTTCCTCTGCTTCGATTGCCATTTCTTTGGTGGCTGTGGCTACCTCTTCCGCCATCGCTGAACTGATCAAACCCCACTCACTTGTGAATTACATGTACAATTCTAAAGGCGACCAATAATAACAGCGGGTGAGTCAATAAGAGCCACGAGAAGAACGAACCAGAAGGCGACAGCACCAGCTGCTACCAAGGCGGGCAGATCATTGTTTGTGATCCAAAACGAGGAGTTGTTAGGCAAAAAGTGGACGAAAGTGTGACGTGGTCGCCGGAAGCAGCTTTCCGTCAAATTTGGCACGAATGTGAAAAGAAAATCGAGGATTATTGGAACCCTTGCTGCTAACTGACGCGACCATGAGCTGCCGACATGTACAATGCTGTCCATCGTGCATCTGTTGCAGCCAGCAACCTTCCTGTCTTCGGAAAGCTCTCCACTGGGCAGCTCGGCCATCGCCTTGTCCTGAGCCATCATTATTGATCCGGCATTGGTTGGTGGAAGAGCCAATGGTACCGTGCGGGGTGACGGGGGAATTGAATTGCTATTGTTTATGGGGAACTAGATGTGCAAGGCAGGATTGAAAAGAAGACATTCGCTATTCAATCTGTGGTTGTAGCTAACTATGTCAAGGCAGCCATGTCAAGGATGGGCTTATCTACATGTAGTAGTAGGCTTAGGAGCCACGCTAAGCTTGTCTATGCTAAGCTAGTCTAAAAGCTAAGCTACATGTAGTCCACAGATACAATTTACTATAAAATTTTGTATTTTCGTCCTTGTTGCTTAGCTTAGATAAATAGCTTGGCTTAGATAAGCCCAGCTTAGCTTAGACAAGCCAAAAGCCAAGTGTCAAGGGATTAAATTGGCATATAAGCTTCTAATGATAGGCTTGGCCCCCATCATAGTTACAAAGCCCCCATAGGAACTGCCCTGTGCAGTGACCACACCCCAGCCAGAGTTTCACCCTAGTAATTCCCCTGGGAGAAGCAGGAAAACGCATTACAAGCATTACACACCTGAGTAGACTGGTTGGTTGTTGACTGTCAATGCTATGGCTAATAGTGAGGCTGCAACTAGTAGAGTAACTACAAACTATTTAATAATCAAAGTCAAACTCATTGTCGACTCTATCATAGTACTCCACCTGCCACATCGGCCGGTCCATGATCTGGAGCTGCACAATGTTGGCCACAGCATGGACCATCTTACCATGTTTATCAAGGGAATGGCGCCACCTCTGAAGGAGGCAGCTCCATTCCTTGAGTCTCCTATTGACACATTCGTGTCTGGCCCTTGCAAGAGCCTTCCTGCTAGTCTGTTGTTGATTGTCAAGGTGTCGCCATGGGCAGTCAAAGTATTGAGGATACCCCCTGTACCCCTTGTCAGCCACAGCTCTCTCATCTCCTTCAAACATGTGGACCAAAGATGACAAAGAAATGGCAATATCAACCCATTCACCACAAGGGAAGGGACCATTGATCCACACAATCCATCCAGTTTGAATACATACAGCAATTTCATACCTCAGTCAGGACCATTAAACTTCTTGTATACCAACCAGTAGAGAAAGACCTGGTTCCCTGATGCGAAAGTCAGTTCCATCAACAGTTACCAGACACCGACTGCCATTGTCATTCATTCGTCGGTACTCCCATCTGATCTGGAGCAGCAGTGATGGTGGATTGTAGCATGTACATGGTGAGGTCTTTGTATTTGTGGAGTCGGCAATGAATAAATGGAGCTTGACGTACCAAGTCAAGAGTAGCCAGCTTTTCGATAAATACCCACACCCAATGGCGAATGGTCTTTTCATCCTTCATGAAGATCATTGCCAGCACAGGTGTCACAGTGTATGTCCTGAGGAACATGAGTGTGGCCAGGAAGTAGGTCACCCAGCGAATATCGCTCATTGGATCAGCATCATCCAGCATGTTCCAGAGCTCAGCGGCAAGATGAGGAGCCACACCAAAACAGCCTCGAAATGTCCGATTGTACCGGTAAGTTTCATGGTTGACTGCTCTGGCTGTAAGCCCTTGGTAGTTGGAAGCTGTTCTGATAATGGTATCGGGTGTTATCTGCATGGCTGGTGGTTGGTTCGTTGTTGTGGAAGATCGATTTTATGACAACAACAGAATGGTCGCAAAGTCGCAACTCCATGAAAAGCAATCCGTCCTATTCACCTGTAGCACCATGTAGATCAGTAGTAGGCGGTGACCATTGACAACCTTGTAAGACCAAATTGAGATGCCATTGTGAGGTACCGGCAAGAAAGAGATGCCATCGAAGATGGTCATGGTGGAGTTTCGAGTTGCAACTGAAAAGTGCTAGTGAAAAGTGCGCTGACACGATTGCTCCTTGGTTTGTTCTTCCGAATCAGCTGAATCCTGCTTGGCTTAAGAGAGGACTACTGGACGTTTGGTGTTTATGTGCTTGTCTTTTTCGCGCAATAATTCAAATCCATTCAAATCGATTTGGATTTCCTGGCCACAATTTGTCTCAAATAATGAGGGTTCGCTCTGGGCTAGCCAAACCTTTCATCCTCTAAGACAAAATCGCCCATTCTAGCTATTCCTCTATGGGGACATGTGATACCAAGCGATTGGACCAGTGCTCATCTGTCTAGTAATACAAACCTTCTAAAGTATGCTTATGCCCAGCATATACTCCTGCACAATGGCTATTTCCAGCGCTGAAAAGTGTACAACGCCCTACTAAAAAGTGTTCCAGGACGTCCTGATGCCCTGAAACGGCACTTTGAGGGAGCGATATAGAAAGCCAGAATGGTCCTTTCCTAGTCAAATAAGGCTCCTTTGCCCTGGCTAATACTAGTAGAAGAAGGGACCGCCCATGTTGGTCATGCTGGTACCTTATGGCATTCCATATCGCCCCTCCAAGTTGGTGATTTGTGCTTTGGGGCGTTCTGTGACGGGCGAAGCACACCCATAGCACGCCCTTGCAAATTGATGCCTAGAAATGTGAGCACCAATTGGTGCGAATTTGGTTTGACCGTTGGAAGGTCGCCTGCAACACCCTCCTGGCTGCCTTCCACATGACTGAGAGGAAGAAATAAATCGCGATCTATCATGTGAACCAGTATGACCTCTAGCCTTGCAGTGAACCACATGCGTCTGAAAGTTTAATCCCATCAAGTTACCTGGCAAGATCGATCTTGCCGTCCTGTAAGCGAACTGCACAAAACTGCACAACCAACTAAACTGCACAACCAGTAAACTTCCACTGATACCAGTAGTAGACAACCAAGATGTCGATCTTCAAAATGGCGCTCTTTCTCTCTCCTCTCTCCTCTCACAAATCCAGATCAACATCAATTGGCAAAGCAGGATAACCACAACATTCTACAATCGACCATGTCCTCCAGAAAGAACGCTCCAGGGAAGAAGGGCAATGAACCGGTGAAGCATATCTTCAAGCAAGATGGTCCAGACTTCAAGTTCCTACTTCGCTTGTTCCACAATGGAACCATCACTGATGAACAACCAGCCGCTGTGAGAGCCATGCATGAGCGATTCCAGAAGTACTCCACAAACCAGTTCTGCTCTCAGTTCAACAAAGCCAGAGGAATGGCTGCCGGTTGCTCTCAGAGGACCACAACCACCACAAGATGATGATGGACCACTACCCATTCTTCCCAGCTTTGTTCTCGCAACCAAGTCCCTGTCGTGGCAGCCAGGCCTCCTGCAGTTGCGCAGCTTCCTTCCATTGCTGACAACGATGATGAGGATGATGTTACCGAAGAGGATGGCCCCACTACTTGAAGCCGAAGAGGATGGTCAAGGAATGGAGAAGAGCATGGATTCGCCATGTCACTATCATTGTCTGGCTGAGCAGTGGCGCGACTGAAGCCGACATCGAAACCATGGTCTCTGCGAATGGCAAGAAGCTGACTATCAGTGAGAAGTGGCACCAAGACCTCTTGGATATTGGGGAGTTCTATTATCTCTATCAACAACACACAAAGGAAAACCTAGAGGATACCAATGTCAGGCGCCATGCCATGCAGCAGTATGTCAGGTCCATCCTTGATGTCAGGGTGATGTCATTTCAGAATTCACTATGGAGCTGCCCTTTCCAGTTGATCCCTCTACCCTCAATGTTACCTTCCCCAGCTTTAGTCTGGTGCATTGTTCTCCATGTTGACTTGGCTGAGAAAAGGAAGAAAAGGTAGCTCAATCCTTTGTCATGAGGAAGAGGATGCCAAGGGCAAGAAGAAGGGTGTATTGAATACAACAACCTCACCCCCCACCACTAGACAAACTCAACAACAGCCATGGCTTTGATGTGTGTTAGGCACACTGTAAACAACTACAACAACCAACCAATCTAGGAGCAACCTGTTGAGTGCTCATGTAATCAACCAAAAGGGTAGCTTGTTGAATGCCCTTATAAAATAGTACTTGCATGTAGTGTGTAATGGCTTGTGTAGTGGTGTAATGCGTTTTCCTGCTCCTCCCTGCCTGTCACCCGGTACGGTAGGTGAGTGCTACCGTTCACTGCGCACCCCGAGGTACCATCATGAACCGTCCGTGCCAAGGCAAGGTGAGCGACACCCCCACTCCGTTTCCGATGACCGTGGTTTACCCTCCGTCAGGTGCCGGATCCTTGGCTGCTTCTCCTTTGACCTCCGCCTTTCCTGAAGATACCACAACGCATCTAGCTAGTAAGCCATGCAAGCAACTTGACGCACAGGCTGGGAAACGGCTGATATCAAGACAAGCAAGACTTGTGGCCCATCTTGCTGCAGAAGAGCTCCTTTCATTGGCCAGCAAACACGTGATCTTCCTTTGACAAGCATGCAATCCAAGATCAATGGGACGCACTCGCATGTTGCTTGCTTGCTTCCTGCTTGTAAGGTGTGGCGGACTCTCATCGTACAGTAGCTCCGGTTTCGTGCAAGACAAACATGCATGAGCGATACTTTGCTGAGGAAGGCCGGGTTGAAAGACGCTGCTGAACTAGCTCAAATTCGTTGGCCGACAGAGAATCCTACCGTATGAGATGCTCCTCCTTCGTCGGCTTGATGGACCATTGTGCATACTACTACCGGAACCTCTTCATCAAGCAAGAAGCGGGAAGGGCTCTGGACAACCAACATCGTAGCTGTGGCGAACACAGACCAGGTCTTGGACATTGATAGGATGCAATATTATTAAGATTCCATGTTCTTGTGCATTCCTTCGACCGGATAAGCTGGGAGCCAGAGCTGCTGATTCATTCTGACCACAGGCAGCGCAACGAGCCGTATCGTTGGCCGCCTGGGGAGGACGACCCCCATCGTGTCTCGTTAGGATCTATTTGTGGATAAAACCCAAATGAAGGTTGATGGCACCTTGGCTAGCTATGGCGACGCAGACGAGAGCAAGATACTCGATTCGCGAGACGGGGTAAGAAGTCTTTAGTAAGAAAGATTAAAAACTGTTCTTTCATAGACTCTTCTAGCCAAGCTAGCTAGGAGAGCCATAGCCGTAGCCCATGCAAAAGAATCTGGGCGGAAGTTGGTATGAGCTAGCTAGGTGCTTTTTCCAAGGAGTAGCGTAGCAGTAGAACGTCAATTGTAGATTGATATCTGTGATTTGAGCCGGGAACACTCTCGCCATTGTCAATTTACATGGTAGTGTTTCCTGATCCGTTGCTTGTCCACAAATAATGTCACGAGTCTACCGTACTGATGTTATGAATAGATTGTTGTTTGTTCTTTTCGTATTCGCCCGTACCGTATGGTTGCTATGATGAGTAATACACTGCCACTTCTTGTTGACCGACATATAAAGGATAAGGAGCCATCCTCCTTTTTCAAATGGACATGTGCCAAGGTGTAAAGAAAGGATCATTGGCACCATTGCTCTCGTTGCTATTGCTGTTTCTCTTGCCACTGTTGTTTGAACCATCATCCGCTCCACCGCCACCGAGGTTATCCGGCATTGACTGATGAAAGTCCGGAGGATTGAAGATTGTAGGGAAGGATTGATGAAGATCATCGGCGCTAGCAAACGTAAAGTTCATGTTGTTGGTCGGATCATTGCCGGATCCGAGCATGGGAAGCGGTTCAAAGTCGCCCAGCGACTCTAGTTCCATGTTCACGTCCACAGCATCGAGTTTCTTCACGTCGTCCTCTTCATCTGGCGGTGATAACTTTGCCGCCGCTGCTGCCACTGTCGCCGATCCCGCTAAACGCGCCTGCTTGGGGGGAGATCTCGGCTCCAGCTTGAAAGACTCCAATGCAGCTTTCTTGGTAGTGCCGCCGGAGCTCAACTCGAGCGCGGGCATCTTTTGATCATCCAAGCCGTAGTGAGCAGGTGACATGTAGGTGGAAGATGCGGGGGATGGCTGTGGCGTGCCATAAGTGCTGCTGCTGGCGGCGCTGAGTCTGTCTCGGCTGTTGTGACTGTCCAGTCGATCCCGACTGTTGTAGCTATCCGTGGCGGCGCTCATTCTATCACGGCTGGTGTAGCTATCCGTGGCGGCGCTCATTCTGTCTCGGCTGGTGTGGCTATCCGTGGCAGCGCTCATTCTGTCTCGGCTGGTGTGGCTGTCCAACCGATCCCGACTGTTATAGCTATCCGTGTTGCTGGCGCTGTTGAGTCGATCTCGGCTGTTGTAACTGTCCAGTCTGTCTCGGCTGTTGTAACTGTCCGTGTTGTAGGCCGTGCTAGCAGCGCTGGGGACTCGATCTCGGCTATTGAAACTGTCCGTGTTGCCCCCGTCGAAACTGGACCCAGAACGCTCCAGTTCTGGGTGCTCTCCGTTGCCAATATCTTGCGCTCGTTTCCTCTTTTCTGCCTTGGCTTTGGTGCTGGACTTGTATTTCAAATGAAGCAGATCCCTGTTGTGTAATGTGTGCATGGAGAGACGTGTACCGTTAGTTTCTGGTCGATCCAATGCAATGCAATGCAATGCAATGCAATGCAATGCAATGCAATGCATTCAAGCAACTCAGAGCAACGGTTTTTCAGTACTTACCGAAATTGCTGCCCCACTTTTTCTCTGGAATATCTGTCAGATACCCGATACCATCTTCCTCCCACGTTCTTGACAAAGCCTCCTTCTGGTGCGGCATGTCGTACTCGATTGACCAATATGGATACTACTAAGGATTTGTCCGTCTTGGTCTTGGCGTTGGAATAGTTATCCATTTGCTCTTCTACCATGCATCGGAACCAGCAGTTTCTATAGGAAAGAAGGAACCATAGATAGATATCACAACGAAACGAAACAAACGAGGGTGAGATGAGATGGTGGTGGGCATGGCATTGGCGATTTCTCGAGAATCGCCCTGAGATTTTTACAGGACTCGAGGGCTTCCCTCCAACTAGTACAGTGTAATCAAATCCAACGTACCCTGGTGAATTGTATGCAAACTTCCCCCGGCTGCAGATAACATCTAATTTCCCTGGCTGAAAGTTGGGACTCAGGGGTATCATGTCTTTGGTGGGAGGAGACTGAGATTGTCCCTTCTTCCGTCTCCTTGGCTTCCTGGCAGGAGGCGCATTGATAGTGGAGGCTGGCTGCATTGGCGGTTGTTGTTGTGGTTGTTCTGGTTTTTCTGCTGCTTCCTGGGATGAACCCTTGTCCATCATTGTAATGAGGTCTGGAACTATGGCTCTACTGCTGATGCTGATGATGTTGCTACTAGCTACTATGTATGGCTGATTGTTTGTTCGCTTTGACTTCGCTTGAGGTATGTGTTTTGGCTGGTGGTGGTGGTTATTACTACTGAGTGAGTGAATGCGGTCTTCAGATGCTTCGTAAGGCACTGTAACACGAATGGCGAGGTGTCTTGCCTTCTTCTGCTCTCGGTTGCTGTTCAGGTTTTTATGGCAATTTGTGACCCTGATATCTTCGTCGCCGTCCCAGCTTGCATGACGAAATCAACCAGTCACAGATATTCATCAGGGCTTATTTCAGGAAGCCTTGTGTCGCCTAATCGTAATATCAATCTTGTCCCCTTTTCATGACGTGCAATGTGTTCTTTGGGAGTTAGTAATGGCGAATCCTTTAAGCATGTTACTTAACAGCGGTACTGGAAGAGACATAAGCCAGGAGCTCCTCTAGTCGACAATCGCCACAGCACAAAAGTTCAAGCAGCCTTCCTTTGGACTGCTCCTTCGCTCACTCCCGCGATTCTTGGCCCTAACACCTGGGAAGCAACCTTATTGAACCAGTCAAGACTGATGGTTATCAAGTAATTGCAGGTCCAGTAGTCCAGGTCTGGACCAGGTGCCAATCTTACTCTAGCGAGCTGGGAGTAAAGCATGTATTGCACCGGTAGCAAGACGTTACACCAACAAGTTTGTCGTAGTTCCACCAGTCTCTATTCGGGCTAGTACTGGTAGCAGGTCTCAAGCACATCCGTATACTAGTCTAGGAGCTACGCACGAACATCTGGAGGAATTGGTGGCTGTGATTCTCTTCCCTGACACTCTCACAACGACCCAGGCTCGATTGCATACAGATCGTACCACCGTCTTGTTGCCAATGGTAAAAGTCGTGCCTGGCTACTAGCTACTGAGTAGTTGAACTGACTAGACCACTAATATACGAAGATGACTTGCATTAATAGACGAAGATGACTTGCAAAGCTTTTGGCGTCGTACTAGGTCTGCGCGCAATGATCGAATGGAAGCTCGTGCCTAGTTCTTTCGACTACTGAGTACTGCACATGTGGTGGCAGCGTGGTTGTGCAAGTCGAAGTCCCAGTGTTGTAGATCTTCCCTGTGCTACCATTACTAGAAAGCTGCTGACCGCATGATGACCCAATCGTCGTCATGGCCAATCCCAACTACGCTCCGTGGATTTATATTCTATTTTCGTCTGCTTCCTTCCCCGTCACACTAGCTAGTTTCAGACAGCCCAATGCCGCTTGCTCTCGACTGTTCCTTCCCTTTATCTAGCTAGTAAAACCTAACCCAGGAGTGTGCTGGCAATTGGCACAGGGAAGCCAGTCATGTGCTTCGCTCTGAGCCATTCCATTGCCATCATCGATGATCTACTAGTACTCTGGGCTCGTCAATGCCGAGAGGTCTTGTAGGGTCGGATGCTCTCCTAATGGCGGCGTTCAAGTTGCCCCGGTTGGTCTTACAGTGTAATGGAAGCCTGTCCCGTTTCCACTGGCTCACCTGGACTATTCGTGATTGATAGGGTTAGCGCTTAACTTTTATACTTAGTGTCTACTCCTTCTCCTTTTCGTTTCACTTCCTAATTCTGAATAGTAACCTATAATTAATGGAGACATTCTATTCATCACCACCATCTCGTTAGACGTAGAAAGTACCAGTTAATCCGGTCATAGACAAGAATAGGCATCTGAAAAGGAAATTCATGACTTAAAAAGTACCCTTGAACTCACATTCTTTAAATCTGAGTGCACTTTTGGCAGTTTTGGCACGATCGGAATCGAATCGAATCGGAAGGGGGGTCTTTTTTCCGCGGGAGTCGAGTAAGTACGTACCGGTAGCTTCAAAGAGCTCTTCAAAGTCGAAGAAAGCGTTTCCGTTGGCACTTTCAGTTTTCAGTGGTGGCCATGGAATGGTGCCCGCAGCACATCAATACCAATAGAAGCTGGTGCTGGGCAATCTTTGCGGCTTCAAGGTTTGTCAGGTTGGGATTGTCGACCCGCAGCATCGAATCGTAGTTTACTGTTGGCCCTGCCTGCCGCTTTTGGCGCATCAACCGCACCTTGGGAACACAGCACTGTTGATAATGCACTTGAGGAAGAATAGCTACCTTTATTTGGCCCCGTCATGCAAAGGTGTCCCTATACATGAAGATTTTTGCCCCCTTCATACCGGTATGCTTCAATACCAACTGGTTCATGTAGTACGGTAGTTTTTATGCAAATGAACCTTATACACTGTATATTGGCTGCCTGGCTGCTTTTTGGGCGTACCAAGCGATGCTCAGCACCGGTATCAGCGAGACCTCATCAAAGGCACGTCACTCTCCTATTCAGCCATAGAGCTTGGCCGGTACAATTTTATCTAAGTTGCACAAGACATCAAACATTTGAGCGCGGAAATCATGATGTGTCGTCTCGTGGTGGAAATGCACCTATACATATCTAGTTACACAGCAGCATTGTGGGCTAGAGCAATGGCCTCATGTGTTACGGAATCCAACATGAGTCAATAGAGTATGTATGTTATCGCTTTGCTATGTACAAGTACATTACACCACAAGAAGAAGACGAAACGGAACAATGTTGAAAAAGATCCTTTCGTCCGATATGCTGTTTATTGGTCAAACATTCGTTGATTCAAAATCCAATGTGAAGTACCACGATGCTTCCTGGTACGATCTCGTACACGACCCGATTGTCGGTTGTTTTCTTTTGGAATTCGAGGCCAACACATCCCCCGTTTCGGATCTTTTTGACCTTGGAAACATCATCGTAATCCTTGGGCAGAAATGTGCGGAAAAAGCTTCTAAACCAAAGAGAATGTCCTGCAGCAACAATATTTTCCTTTTTGATATCATTGAAGATTGTTTCGGCAAAACTCTGTAGTCGAATGATGCCATTGGAAGTGATTGGTTTGTTGCCCGTGTGCATGGACGTGTCCAGATTGTTGTCAAAGTATGGTTTGAGGAATTTTGGATCTGTAAAAGCCAGCTCGCATTTTCCCTTGGCTGGTGTGATACAGAGTGCATCTGGATTTTAAAAAGCTGACTTCTTGCATCTGTGAGAGAATGATAACCTTGTCGTTTTCGAATCCCCGATCTAGCCGCTCTCTGGCCCCAATGACAAGTGTTGAGATGGCTCTCCTGAGGTTTGAGGACACCAGTTGTGATGAAGGCTCTCTGGTAGGTGGTCCCTTTCCACCGGGTGATTCCCCGAGCATGATTCGTATGAGTCTTGCCTCTTTGGGTGTAGTGAATTGTAGATTAGTGCGCATGAATCTCCGAACAGATTCTGCCTGTGACTTGCCCATGTCATTGAGTGGTGAGTCGTAGAACCAGCTCTCTTTGTCCTGTCCAGTGACCATAAAGTACCATTCCACGAAGAAAGCTTTAATAGCATTGGGTATGAAAAACATGTAGAGTTTGGTCTTTTCGCCCCTTCAGAAGAAGGATTCGGAAGAATTGTAATGAGTGAGTGAGTGAGTGACTTGAAACTTTTAACACCGAATCGGCAACGTACTGTTGAATGTTTCATTCCAAGTGCTGAAAGATAATCACAAGAAATGTGAGAGAAGAAAAAGGTTAGATTCAAGAATTGAATTTCTACCTTGTCGTCACAGGAGATAACCCACATACCTCTAGCCATGCCTGACAAAGATAATAGTTTTGGTCTCTACCTTGTGAACATTGGTATACTTATTAGTTTCTGGCTCGTTCCATTTTTTGTCCTTGGAAAAGAGTCGTGCCGTGTTGACAAAGAGAGTGAGGAGTGAGTCCCCGTTGCGCCGCCAATGGGTTGATGGCCCAGCAAATACTGTGGCATACATCATGGGACGTTTCAGACTGGTGGCCAACCAGAATGTGAAGAAAACCACCATGTAAGGCAGCACTAACACCGCCCCAATCAACGACATGGTGGGGGTGGTGATTGGAGTTTGTTTTGTGTCTATATGCCAAAGTGGCTCCAAGCTCGAATCCAAGGTCTTGGATTATTAGAGCATGCAACATCGGGGTACCCCAAATCACAAAACCCAAATGGTTGGAGGTTGACCATCCTCGCTGCTAGGCTATGCTTGCTCGCGAAAGAGAACCTAAACCCTCCTATTGTGATGTTAGAATGATGTCATTGATGATGTGGCAATTCTTCTCCTTAAGTAAATTTGAATCCAATGAGTCAAATGGGTTTGGGTCGGCTGTTTAGGCTGGGCAAACAGCTCCAATTTGTGCGAGCCACATGGTCGCAAAACCCATTTGACTCAGTCGACTCAGGTCGGCCGGCGATACCCGATGCCAACCATTTGGGTTTTGTGATTTGGGGTACATGTACCCCGGTGTTGCATGCTCTTAGTTAGGAACCGGTACATGGAGGATATGGATTGTCATAGATGGGGTATGTTTAAAAGGGCTGTGCTACGCTGGAAGCTGGAAGAACGTTCTTGCGACGACGCGGGCAAACAGTGTGGGCAAACAATGCGGGCAAAGAATGCAGCCCCCGCCAATTCTTACAGATTTACGGGTTCACACTACTGGTACTAATAGCTACGGTAGCATCAGGCATGTAGGAATAATACCATGCGGCGCAACCATTCAAGGCTTGGCATGTTTGCTACCATCACCCATCACCGTTGGCAAGCTACTAACTAAAGCAGATTGGAGATTCTGAGCTAGAGAGTTCGAGAGAGAGAGTTCGAGAGAGAGACTGAGATTCAAGCATGGATGTTGTTGATTCCGATTCCGATTCCGACAGCGAGGTGGAAACGCGGGAACAAAAACCCGCTCTCAACCCCGAGGAAAGAAGAGGCCATGACATGCTAAGAGATCTCTTTTGGGACATTGCGCTAGAGCCCTTTGACCAGGGTACCATAGATACCATTATGGGTATCCTACGCAAGCATCCCACGTTGAATTTCCAAACCTTCAAGAATAGTCCCTATTCTCGTGGAGCGTCGGTACCGATCAACCCCCGGACAACCAGTCGAGATGGAGTGAGCCTCCAGCCGTTTTCCTATTTGATCATTGGGGGCGCGTCCATTGATATCCTCAAGGAGATCGTGGATAATATGGGCTGGAAGAACTGGGGGTTGCGGGAACAAATGGCCGATGGACACCGCTACTTTCCACTGGAGACTGCGATACGCCATCGATCGGATGATCCTGCCGTCATTCGGTTCATGGCTGAACAAACCAAAAAGCACTGTGAACTCACCATTATGGATCTGAGAGCCAATCCGCTGGTCGCGGCCATGGACAAATACGCCCCTCTGGAAACCATGCAGGTCCTAGTGGACATTCACCCCGAATTTGTCATGCAACGTTTCGCGTTGAATTCCGAAATGACAGCTCTGGAACGAGCGCTTTGGAATCAGTCTCCGGCCGCACAGGATATCATTGATTTTTTGGTGTCCAGTATAATACGAAAATCACCCCTCTCCTTTGAACGACTCAAATTCAACAATCCCCGCCATACCATGACACTACAATCCACAAAGGCGTTGCTGACGCTCATGCCGTATTTTGAAACCATGGATATCGATGTTGGCAATTGGCAGACCGATGCCTGGTTACATTTTCTGCAAAATGCTCCACAATCCGGCAGTACCAAAGTCCTCGGTCTGTCTCTTCCGAGTGGACTCTCGGAGGATGATTTAGGTCCTGCGTGCAATGCCTTGTCCTCCTTTTTGACCAATACGTCGTTAGTGGAACAAATCAGAGTACTGGGTGGACCCGAACAGACCGACGTCAACGAACATCCACCACAATTTATTCACGCCATTGAAACCGGTGTCAATGAAACCTGCAAACTACAATCACTAGAGCTTCAACGATTCCTCTTTACGGCCCATGAGGAAGTCACTGCACTCCTGAACATGCTGGTGGGAAAATCCAATCTGAAAACGATTACGCTGGTCAACGTGGAGATTCAACAGCAGCAGCAACAAGATCAACAACAACAATTACCCACCGAGTCGGTTTCCCCGATCCAGTCACTGTCTCTGAGTTGTTGCCGCATGCCACCACCACTTCTCAAGTGCCTACTCCATGTGGCTTCCAAAATGCCAGTATTGTCGTCCTTGTCGATTGTGGGTCAAACAACGGCTTCCTGGGAAGGATTGGGGGAAACCATGGCGACCATCTTGGATCGAAATGTACTCACCCGACTCTATGTGCTCAAAAGCTTGGATACGCACATTGTCGATCTCACCGCTGTGGGCAAAACATTGCGGGCGAATACGAGTCTGACATCGTTGCGGTTTCATGGCAAATCCACCGGAGTCAATTCGTTAGCGCAGGCGTTGGAACAGGACAATGTGACTCTGACGTGCTGTGATCATCAAGGAGACGAAGTTAGCAATGATTGGAAAAAAGCCGAGTATTATGCCAATCTCAATCGATTGGGGAGAGGGCAAGTGCGCGAAGGATCCACCACTCTGACAGACTTGACCGATTTGTTGTTGGCAGCCAGAAAAGCGAGAAACACAGGTACGACTAGCTTCACATTCACAAAGCTCGATGTATTTTTCGGAATGTTGCGGGAGCGCCCCGAACTCTGGTGTTATTGCGGTGGTGGTGGTGTGGCCTCATCATCATCACAAGGTCGAAAACGGAAACGATAGCCCAAGTAAAAGCAACTGGAAACACGACAATGCGAGTTGTGACGTGAAGCCACGAGACTTGGTGTCATTTTCTTGTTCCTATGCAAGTGGACGACGATTTCAGTGGTGCTCGACTAGCTTTATTGAAGTATGAGAGCAACCACCCACAGTTACATTCTACATGTACTTGACACTACAGTGGTATTTCCGCATATCAATAAACTTGAACCTCATCGATTTTGACATCTCCTACTAGCTAGACCACTTCTGCCTCATTAGCTACATGTAGTCTGAAGACTGAGTGCCCAGTTGCCAGCACTCATTGAGACTGGCTGGGTGAAAAGTGTACCGTAAGTAGCTAGCTGGGGGTGCTGTCTACAGGTATAAAGTCGGTTTTGGTCCATGGCTTTGAGACATCAGCGATACTATAGCCAAAACAGTACAATATCGGAAACCTTCTGTCTCACTCTCTATTTGCTGAGTTAACGGGACTCAATAATGGACCAAAATATTTAACTATCTCACAAAAAGTATAACGAAAATGAAATACACGTTTAACATAGGGTATGTGATATTAAATCATGTGGTCAGTATGGGTAACATGCTATGAGTCAATGGTACTTGAGGTCGATTTCGTATTAATCTACTTATAGGTCAAGCGGACATTGAGACAGTCATTTGCTTATAGACAGTTTTGGTCCATTTTTGGGCTGTAGCGCTGGTACACTTTCTACGTGTCTCACCCACTTCCTTTATTAAACTCGTACTGTCTAGCCACAGTTCATGACATCGTGAATGACTGATAGATGATACATGATTCATCTACTCTAGTCGATCTAGTACTCTAGCCAGCCACCTTTCCGTGCCGTTGCAGATGAGAAAGATACCAGGTACACCCGTACCTGGTACTGGTACCAGGTACCGTATGGCGTAGTCTAAGTCCGCCGCAATACTGGCTAGCCAGTGGTACTGTAGTCTAGACTAATTGGAGCAGGTAGGTTGACATCGAGTAAATCGAAATGATCGGATCGATTCGATTCCAATCGATGAATCGAATCTTTTGGTGGCTTCGCACCGCGATCCATCAAGATGACAACACACCAAAGCCGTGCGGCCCCGACTAAACCAGGCGAACTTAGCTAGCGAAAAGAAACATCAGTGTGCACTAGACTAGCTACCGTAGGCAGAGCCTTCATTGAGAGCATAGAATAGAGGCACAGGATCGGACGGTAACTGACTTTGCTGCCCTAGTTAGTAAAGCCTCGATCGTAGTTGCACTACTAGTTTTTGGCGATCTTTCGAAGGCCTTTCAGGTTCCATTGGCTTCAGTCCATTGTATCGTGTGGCGTGGACACCGAAGTGTTGGTTATATAGTCTCTATTGTTTCAATACAATACAATAATACTATGTGGAGCCAATGGGCGAAAGAGAAGATTGAGAATGCCAAACTGGGTGAGAAATTGAAGGAGATTGGCAATGCTGTGGCTCCGCCTGCCGATGGGGAAGAGTATGACAATGAGGAGGAGGAGTACTACGAAGAAGGAGAGGAAGAAGAGTATGAGGACGAGGATCCAATGCCCAAATCACCCTTTGGGTTTGTGGGTCGACTGACACAAGTGTTGGCACCCGATGCAGACTACGACGAGCCGGAAGAAGAAGAACGACAACAGTACTACGGCGAGGAAGATTACGATGAGCAAAACCTTAATTTTGAATACGACAACTCGGAGGAAGTAGTTGACTTGCACCCCACGCCAATAATGGATGCGGAACCGAAACCACTCCTCCAAGAACCAGAATCCTTGATGCAATACACACCAGCCGCTCAACCCAAACCAGTAGATGCGCCACAGATAGAGGAACACGATGATTGGGATGGAGATTTTGTGGCGTCGTCGCCACAGCCCAAAATTGCCACTCCGGAACAGCAACAACAACAAATGCTAGCAGCAAAACAACAGCAAGAAGCTGCCAGACAAAAGGCAAAAGCAGAGCAAGAAGCAGCAAGACAAAAAATGGAAGAAGAGCGTATTCGAAAACAAAAAGAGGCCGAAGAAGCTCAGAGGGCCAAAAAGGAACGTGAGGAGGCGGAAAAGCGCAAGCAACATGAAGAAAGCTTACGGCTGCAAAAGGAACGTGAGGAGGCGGAAAAACGCAAACAACTAGAGCTTCAACGACGACAGGAGGAAGATGCAAAGAGAAAGGAACAGGAATTACTCCGTTTGCAACAGCAGAAAGAAGCCCAACTCCAAGCCAAAAAACAACGAGAGCAAGAATTGCAGCGAAAAAAGGAAGAGCTTTTGCAGAAGCAGCGGCGCGAACAAGAATTGATTGTACAGCAACAGCAAAAGGAAGAAGCCATGCGCAAACAAAAGGAAGAAGCAGCAGCAGCCAAGGCGGCTGAAATGAAAAAGCAACAACAAGAAATGATGGAACAGAAAAAACAAGAGCAATTACGACAAAAGCAGCTGGCGGAGCAGAAACGACAACAACAACAACAAAATCAGCTACTAGCGGAGCAACAACAGGGACAAAAGCCAGCTACGCCACAACAGCAGCAGCCAAAAAAGCTAGCTACGCCGCAACAGCAGCAGAAAAAGCTCGTGACACCACAAAAGAAAAAGGTTGCAACCACCAACTCACAGCAACGCGTTGCCAAGGCAAATGGATCTGGTGGGCCTTCGTCGTCGCCCATCAAAAAAATCTCTACCGGAAGCAACGCCTCACAACAGGGATCTCCTAGGCCGACACAGCTGAAACAGAAGGTGTCCTCCGGGTCTACTGCTTCTGCTGCAAGTGCGCAAAAGCAACAACAGCGACCACAAGCATCGTCTCCAAAGCTAATTGTCAAAAAATCGTCCTCATCCAGCACAAACTCTCAAAGTACCAAACCAACGCAGCAACAAGCAAGGACTGCAACCGCCGGCACTCCCACCCAAAGCCGGTCACAACCAGATCCAAAGCAGCAACAAATCATTGAAGAACAGAAACAACAGCTCAAGCAGTGGGAGGCCAAATACAAGGCAGTGGAAGAAAAGACGCGGCAACCAGATCCAAATCAGCAGCAAATCGTGGAACAGCATCAACATCAGCTGGCCCAATGGGAAGCCAAGTACAAAGCAACGGAAGAACAGCTGGGCCACGCACAACATCAAATCACAGAAATGGCCCAACAAGCCCAAGCCAAAGAACAGCAAGCTATGGAAGAGCATCAAAATCAACTGATGCAGTTTCGGCAAAAAGAAGCCCGTCTGTTGGAAGCTCAGGCAGAAGACCATCAAATGGAATTGAATCGGCAACAGGAAGAGCTGATCCAGCAAATGCAACAGATGCAGGGAAACCACCAGGAGGAACTGGACCAAGCTTTGCATCAACAACATCGCGAAATGGAACAGCTGTTGAGAGAAGCCAACAATCGAGCGGAAAAGGCCCTCAAAGAGAAGGATCGTGCCGTAGCCGACGTGGAAAAGGGCGCCTCGAAGCAGGAACAGCATCAAACTCTTCTTCTTCGACGAGCCGAAGATCAGCTGGCTCAGTCAATGGCAGCCATTGACGAACGAGACGAAGAAATCCAGAAACTAAACAAAATGGTCGTCGAATTGCAGTCATACATGAAAGAGCACCATGCGGACTCGCGAGAGGCAGAGGAGGAAATGGATGAGCTGCACACGGAGAATGAAACACTGCGAGGTCACGCAGAGAGGCTGGGTAATGAGTGCCAGCGCTTGAAAGCTCAGGTGGAGCAATTGGAACAGGATTCAGACCAATTGAGCAGTACAAAGGTACGACTTGGGAAAGGTGCTGTGCTTGACGAGGCTTTTTGCGTATTGACCTTGCTAATGCTAATTGACCTTGCTGTGTGTTTTGTTTGAAAAGTTGGAATTGCAAATGTTGAGGGAGAAACATGCTCGAGAGAGTAATCAGATCAAACAAAAGGCGGCCTCTGCGGAGAATACTCAGTCTCAGATTGAAACTGAACGCGATGAGGCCGTTTTGGAAGTTCAAGCCTTGCGACAACAACTGGCAGCTGCAGAAGCTGACTTGGCCATTGCCCGATCCGACGCCGAACGCATCATGCTTGCGAATGAGAACCTGCAAAGTGCTTTGGAATCCTTCCAGAATGAACGGGAGGCCGAGTTGGGGTTGATGGAGGAACAACGATTGGACTCGGAAGAGCAACTCAAGGCTGCTCACGCCGCAGCCCTGGATGCCACCAAAGAGATGCATCAGGCTCAAATCCGAGAGGTTCAGGCAAACTCCGACAATGAGGTCAGATCCGTCATGGCAAAAGTTCAACAGTTGGAGCACGTTGCCGAGGAATACCGTGTGGACAATGTTCAAATGCGTCGTTCTCTTGATCAGGCCATTCAGCGTCTACAGGCAACTCAAGAAGATGTCATTGATCGAGCAGTCATCAAGAACATTCTGTTGGATTGGTTGACCAAGACAGATGCCAATCAGAAACGTCAAGTCTTGGAGCTCATGGCCAGCCTGCTGCACTTTACAGACGAAGAAAAGAGCAAGGTGCATATTCAAGAAGGCTCCGAGCTACTGGAACGGGTTGTGCACGCTGTTGCGGTTCCCCTGCCTCCCGCAAAGGCGGACATGGAGCACCTGGAGGGAGATAATGTTCGAGAGAAATGGGTCAGTTTCCTCCTGGAAGAAACTGAAGACTAACTAACTGAAGCTTGAATGGTTCAGCAGCTAAAACATAATAGTACAACATGAGGAGATACTATTTCTTTTTTCGTGCTCGTCCACCATCCTAACGTATGGTGTGGAGCTCGCTGCTTGGTGCCATTCAAACTTCAATGGTGGCGCCTTCTATTCTTTCGTTTACTGAGTACGACTGTATGCCATAGCCAATTAGACTTCCAAATGACTTTGACTCAATGCTGCCGTACCGGTATGGACGGGGTTGTTCAAACTGTCAATACTCCAATCGTTGAAGCCTAAGCCACTGGGGGGGGGGGGTGTGTAAATCTGAATTTGCTCCTGTGCGAACTGTACTACGGTATCGTAGGCAAGTCTGGAGGGATGGAACGTTTATAAAGAGAACAAATCCAAGCCCTCGTGGGAGAAACTGACGAATTGGACTACCCTCCTCAATTTAATTTATGACTGTCTGCTAGCTAGAGGAGGAGGTCGAGAAGATGCTACCAATTGTAAACATGTACACAGTAATACACGCACATGTAGCTTCACCTGAAAGGCTCCATGTTCTTCATTCGCGAGGCATCTCTCGACTTTTGCTTCTTTCTTCGTTTGGCGAGGTAATTGTCCAGCCCTCGTTTTCCCTTTCGTTTCTGGATATCGGCAATCTTCGCTTCCATTTCCATTTGCTTGAGTTCGCGTCGTTTGGGGAAATACATTCCTCCTTTTCCTTCGGCCACTTGTGCTTGTAGCTTTTTCTTGACTGCCTTTTTGGCATTTCGTTCGAGACTCTCTTGATTCTGTCGCGCCACTGTCTGCTGCAGCGTCTGGAGCTGCTCTTGCAGCCCTTCTACCGTTTCACCCTGGATTCCCATCTTTTGTCGCGTTCGCCGTCCTTTCTTTCCCGGCATCTTGAGTGCCTTGAGTTTAGTCTTGGTAGCGGCAATCTCCTTGTTCTGGACTTTCGCCAAAAAGCCGTAATGATGTTCAAATTGTTCCTGATCCAAATGCCCACTGAGTGAGGACATGCGCGGGTCTCTTGCTTGGTATCTGTGAGCTCCAATGTTAACGCCAATACCACGTTCATTCAGAGTTTTGTTGTGTCGACGTCGCGACGAGGCTTCGGCAGGAGCATGTTTGGATTTCTTGGTTTTCTTGACGGGGAGCTCTTTGTTGTTACTACTGTCGTCCTTTTGTTGTTGATTACGACGAAATTCTTGCATACGTTCCTTGGCCAAAGGGAGAGCCTTGATGCGTCGTGCTCGTTGATCTTTCAAGGCTGTCGTGGTCCGCATCGTGGACTCTCTTTCTTCCTGTTGGCAAAGCCGGTCCGCAAGCGACATGGATTTGTTCTCATCAGCTTTGGATTCGGCATCGCTGGTACCGGAATCACTCTCCGACTCGTCCAATTCAGTGTCTCCTCTGAGTGGCTCATCGTCGCTTGCTCTTGATGAGTAGGAGTCTTCGTCGTCAGATGAATACTTGTCCATGGTCTTTGTCGAACTTTGGATGAGGAAATGAAGAAATGGAGGCACGGGAGGAGCGAATGGTCCTTAAACATAGCCTTAATTAGAGTGCTTCGACACGCCTTCTTAGGGTTAATCTTTGCTGTCACCACAAAACGTACAGTCGTACACTTAAACCCCATATATAAGATACTTAACATTCTGAATCCTGTTCTGGAAGTTGCACCGTATCAAGGATTCATCAACAGCAGCAGTTATTCAGTCAACAATATCTTACAAGCAGCCCAATCTCAGTATCTTCCATATCTTATGGCCACTAGCAGCTATTGTCACATATGCTACCGGAACTACTAACCATGCCCTCAATCAAGTGAGGAGCCACCGACCACCAAAGCCCAAGAAGGCAAAGGTGCAAAGCAAAAATTGATCAAACCAGAGATGTTGTGGTGGAGGAGGAACCCCAAGATGGGGATATGGAGGACTTGGTGATGTGGAAGACAGTGGGTACTAGCTAGCTTCCCTCATTACCCACATTTCAAACACAAGTCTCACCACCAAATTCAAAGGCTTCATTTGGGAGATAGAACACCTGTGGTCTGCCAAGGAAGGAGGAGGAATTAATGTGACATCAGCTGCTTACACCGATGTGCATCATGTGCGTGCAGCCGATATCAAAGTTCAGGAAGTCAAAACAACCCGACATTTCCGCATGTGTGGCACTGCTTCGTCGCTTGACAACTGTGTGGTTCCTGCAACAAGTGAAACAAGCTGGGATACAGCTCGAGACGACAAAACATAGATGTAGTATTAGCTTAGGGTTTGAGACATTGGTACTCGTAGCTTATCTTGTTTGGGAAATCTGAGTGTCCAGATTATCTTACATTCCTGCAAATATTTGAGTAGTATACTAGTACGGCATTCTGAAGTACTCCGTATCTTACCGGTAATTAACAAGTAACAGCCCTTTAAAAAACCACTTATATCTTAAGTATGAGTGAGGCATGTACCGGTACAAACCGGTACCAGTACCAGCAAGAGATCTGCCCTTACAAGATCGGCAATCGAGCAATTTTTCGATTTCCCGCTGAATGCTGATGGGGATTTCAGAGTGGGGACTTCAATCACTGTATAGTAACCTCATCGATCGTTGATACTCGAACGCATTAGGTCAACATCGATCAAGGAAACCATGCTGAAAGGGTTTGTGTATGCGCTGGTGTTATTATCATCATCGATTCAGAGAGCGGCTGGACAAACCAATGTGACCTCAACCTCGGGTGCGGTCGGGAATTGTCTCTGCGAAGGTCGTGGTGATCTGATCGGCGATTATGTCATCCAAGTAGACCGATTGCCAAACACGTTTAGCTTTCTAGTAGACGAAGACTTACAGGGGAACCCTTCCTGTGGAAGCATTCAAGAACGGTATGCTACCTCTACAGAATGCGACGAGGTGCTGTGGGCCACGGAATTTTGCTGTACCGGTGGACCACGCCAAGACCAGTGCGCACAGCAAGTGAGAAGTCAAATTCTTGGTGGATACGATAAAATCACCATTCCGAGCACTTCCTTAATCACTGATCCAGTCAAGGTTACCGTAGAGATGACATATCATACCATTACCGACATTAGCGAGACAAGGGGCATCATACAAATCTTTGTTTCCCTCACATTGAAATGGAACGATCCCCGATTGAGTTGGGACTTTGACCCTGATGGAGCTTGTACCAGTCTTCCAGTCAATGTCCGTGCACAAATGCAGCAAGGTCTCAAGGACAGTGAAATATGGGTTCCCGAATTCGACCTCTACAATCAGATCAAGGGCGTGGCTGGTATGACGGGACCACTGGCTGCGATTGAACGAGACGGCACAGTTACTTGGGCCAGAATTGGTAGTCTCCAGGCAATCTGCCAAATGGCGAATTTGGGCCAAATCCCCTATGATTCTCTCGAGTGTCAGCTGTTGATGGGATCGAGGAGTATTGGCGTCGATTATGAACTTGCTCCCTCGGGGGGACTCGTGACAAGCGGCTACGATGGGCCCTACAATGGATACCGGGTTGTCAAGTTGGAACCAGGTGTATTCATTGGTGCAAACAATGATACAGTCCTGTTTTACAACTTTGAGATCAGCCGAGGCACCAGCTACTACGTGCAAAATGTGATTGTTCCTATCATTATCTTCTCCTATTGCAGTATCCTTACCATGGTCGTGGGGGTCGGTGCTTTCCAGACGCTTGCGCTCAACTTCACCCTCTTGCTTGTATCAGTGACACAAAAAGTTGCTGTTTCCCGACTGCTACCCATCACCAATGAGGCGTTGTGGATTGTTGACTTTGTTTTCGGCAGCTTCTACTTCATTGTGATTACGTTGATTGAAACCTTTTTCAAGTTCATCATCCTGGAAATACGAAAAACTCGCCAAGCAGCACGGGAACAGTTGTCAGAAGAAAATCCTCAGGCAGAGGAGAGCCCGAAATCAATCTTGCCAGAATTCTTTTTCACGTTCTCAATGCGGCGCATGGACGTGATCTGCTGCTGGGCAAGCTTCTTGGCGTACACAATCTATGTCATTGTCTTCTTCGCCGCCCGGGATTCTTGGGGGAATGATGTCACAGTCGTCCATGTGTTAAACAATACAGATCAGGAGCTTTAGCCTGTGCCCAAATCAAAATGTCTGGCAGCTTGAGTGATCCCTGTTCAGACCGAGTGGATTCTTGAATGCGTGGTACCGCGAGCTGCTGCAACGGTGGAAATGAAAATATGGAGGAATCTCCCACGACAATGGATCTGTGTATACGACGGATGTACTGAGTGTTCGATACTTTGTTTGTACTTTCAAATGTGAAACCAGATATAGAGAAAGGCGTCAATCTCTCCCCACATCTTCACTCTCATCGTGCATGTCCAACATACTTTCTTCCACAATACTTTCTTCGAAAATGCCTTCTGCTTGAATGCATGCTTGACGTGGGATTGCTCGACGTCGCAGGATGCGACAGTATTGCTAGTAGACAGCGTTGGCTGTACCTGACGTTTGATTGATTGATGTTTGCTATAGACCTTCCGCCCCATGAAGCAAGCATCTACTTGGTCCGATTGCATTGCAGCACTCCCCAGAGCAAGGTCCCACGCACGACTTGGTTGTAACGTGCTCCCCCGGAGCCCCAATGAACACCTATTCGACACACCACTCTCGCGGGCTTTCTTGGCATAGTCTTGCAAGCCTTGGATGATTGAGAATGTGCTGCTGATCTGTGCAAAGTAGTTGTGGTAGACCTTGAACAAAAGATCCCCAACAATCAAAGAGACCACAACCAAATCATTCAACCGGATCACCGCCTGGATGAAGAAGGATGCTTGCGGATTGGTTCACAAGATGATCAGTATTGGGATGGCCAAGATAAGAATTTGGCAATTTGAAATCAATGTCAACATACTTCTCATTGGAGATACTGGTACCGGTAGATGCATTAAACGGAGGCACGTCAGCAGCACGCCACCGGTACCATCAAGATGATGCACCCAGTTTCCTACACTTACCTGGCCAAGAAGGACATGTAGCAAGCCACCATCATCAGCAATGCATGAAAAGACGCAATGTGCATGCTTCCCAGTGATCAGTCTGACAGTAACCTTCCCTTTCCAGTGGCTCTCCAAACACATATTGCCACATCAATGGCCAACACAATGGCAACAGTAGGAAGTGTTTCTGTGTTGGGAATGGTTATGCGCTTCAAGCAAAAAGAGCTCCAAAGGTTCAACCACTACCTTACGTGTACCATACCACCGGTGGCAAGCCGCTCAGCTAGCTAATCGATTAGGATTTTTTTAAACTATTAGAGTCTAGCTAGCTAGAGCTAGCTAAGGGTAGCTAGAGTCTAGAGTAAAGAAGCAAAGCGAAAGTCAAGGTGCGGGTCTCACACGTGTTTCACTCCATCCACGTCTCGCTTCCACTTTCCATCTTCGCCAAAGGAAAGTCACAAACAAAAAAAAATCCTTTTGAAGAACACTCGAGAGGATAACAAACGAAGAAACAAAACTACAACTACAAACAGATAATACCACTGACCCAGGCACGCAGACCATGTGTGCCCAGTACATATTTCGCGGCGCAAAGCCACAAGAACCAAAAGACAAAACCGTCGGCACGCGGCCAACGTGTGCCCACAGGATATTTCGCACTTGACGGAAACAACCAAAGCCATGACGCCTTGATGAAACGAGTCCACCTCTCCGGAGCCCATTCGATCCGCAATGTGGCCGTGGTGGCTCACGTGGACCATGGCAAGACAACGTTGACTGATTCCTTGTTGCTCAAGGCTGGACTGCTCCAGAAAGACCGAGCAGGCGACCAGCGCTCGATGGATACCCTGGCAGATGAGAAGGAGCGTGGCATTACCATCAAGTCGGCTGCCATTTCGTTGAACCTGACAGCGGACTGGAACTTGATGAAGTACAGCAAGGCAGGAGAGGCCCTAAAGCGGGTCGTTTCGAATCTGGAAGAGAGAGAAGAAGAGACCGCAAAAGCCTCGGAAGCATCCGTTGATGATTCGGTTTACGTTGGCAAGTTCCCCGGTTCAGTCACGAACAGCGACCATGTCCAAGCTATCTTGAAAGACCACGGTGTATCTGTCGACCTCGCCAACATCGACTTCCATGGCCGCCGAGGCTACGCCATCGTTGACGTTCCAAAGGCAAAGGCAGAGGCCCTCGTTGGTTTGGATGGCAACATCCTTGTTGACGGCCGTGCTCTCAGTGTCGAGTACTCTGGCGCGGGTGCCATGTCCCGATTGAAGCTCTTTTGCAAAGAAAACAAGAAAGACATGCCCACCATCACTGTCCTACGTCAAAAGAATGGCGAGTACAGCGGTCTGGCCGAGTGGTCTGCCATCGGTGGCGTCATGATTCATTCGTCCGAACACCACTCGTCGATGGCCAAAGCCCGACAAGCTGTCGCCAAGGAATGTATCGCATTCATGGAGGCACAGCAGAACGATTTCCAATCGGATTCTATGGACAAGAAGACGGAGGAGCGAGACGCCTCGCCTGCAGCAAGTACAGCCGAAACAACCCAGCACCAAGACGACGAGCCCACAACTTTTGGCGACAAGGCACCAATCAGTCTCAACCTGATCGACTGCCCAGGCCACATTGATTTCAATGGAGAGGTTACGGCCGCCCTTCGTCTTTGTGACGGTGCTCTGGTGGTGGTGGATGCTGTGGAAGGCAAAGCGGTTCAAACCGACAACGTTCTTATGCAGGCGCTGAAGGAAGGAGTGCGGCCTGTTTTGATGCTGAACAAAGTGGACCGGCTTATCGTGGACAAGCAGCTCGAAGCAGACGAAGTCTTTGACGCGATGGCGCGAGTTGTTGGCCGAGTCAATGGCTTCATTTCGCAGCACCAGCTGCCCGAGCTACCCGATCAACGGGTCCGTTGGGAGGATGGCTCGATCTGCTTCGGCAGTGGGTACTTCGGGTGGTCCGCTTCGGTCGACTCTTTCATCCCGAAGGCTGAGGACGGCTCTCTGGAAGGCCGGGCCACCTGCACCAAGAAGAGGAAGGCAATGGCTAAGCGAGAGAATTTTATCAAACTCATTCTCAAGCCAGTGGTCCGTCTGCATCGTCTCTGTGGAGTTCTTCCAACGAAGAAAAAGAACATGCCTCGTTCGGAACGGATGGAACTTGTCGAAACTTTCCTGGGTAGGGCTCTATCCAGGCCGTTCAAGATGTCGGCGAGCATGATCCAAGAAGAAAGACCAAAGAAGTTATTAAAAAGTGTGATGATGACTTGGCTCCCAGCCGCAGACGCCATCACAAACATGGTTGCGTCGAATGCACCGTCCCCTGTCGAGGCTCAAGATTGGAGGGCGAATTTGCTTTACACCGGTGACGTGAAGGACCCAAGCGGACAGGGGATCAAGGCTTGTGATCCCGCTGCGCCGACGATCATGTACGTGTCCAAGATGCTGCCAGCCACGGTCGGTGGTGGCAAGAACCTCTCCGCGTATGGAAGGATCTTCAGTGGAACGGTGGCGGTTGGCGACACACTGTTTGCTATCACAAACGATGGAACCTTTCGGCGAGCTAAAGTATCCAAGGTCATGATGTGCGGACTTGGTGGAAAGATGGATTCTCTGTCTTCGGCCCATGCGGGGCAGCTTGTTGCTCTCGAAGGGGTCGACAAAGCCCTGAACAAAGCAGGCACACTGTCGGGCATCAAAGGGTCCAGCCCCATCGAGCACATGGATTTTGCTGTGGCGCCCGTTGTCCAACATTCCATTAGCCCCAAGGACAAACGCTTGCTGACCAAAATGGTGGCAGGCATGCAGCAGGTCGTCAACGCAGATTCCACGGCTGTGTTCTTCCGAGATGCTGAAACCGATCAATACATATTGGCGGGCGCAGGAGAGCTCCACATGGAAATCCTCGTGTCTACATTGCGCCAAAACACTGGAGGCATGGAAGTGGTGTTGTCGGAACCTCTGATTAGCTACCGAGAGACGGTGCGTTCGGAGTCTTCGGAAGCAGCGCTCGCCAAGAGCGACAATAAACACAATCGAATTTGGATCAAGGCTTCGCCCCTGTCGCAGGAGGTTGTGCGTGCCATGACCAACGGAGACCTGAGAGGGGTGGACGTCAAGGCGGTTGGGAAGAAATTGTCTGAGAGCTACGGCTGGAGAGCTGCTGACGCCTCGCGCGTTTGGGCCGTGGGGCCTGAACCGATGTCTAAGGCCGAAGCGTCGGATATGGATCGTGCTTCTTGCCTTCTCGTCGATGGAACCTACGGATTGCAAATCCCCGATGACGCAAAAGCCAACATCATAGGGGCTTTCCAACAAGTGGTCCGACGTGGTGTCCTTGTCGGGTCACCTCTCTGTGGCGTGCGCTTTGACCTTGTGGAAGCCAAGTTCCATGCGGATGCCGTCCATCGTCGACCGAATTCAGTGGTTCCCGCTGCCGCTCGTGCCTGCAAAGGAGCCTTTTTGCTGGCCGATCCTGATCTCCTCGAACCTGTCTTCCGAGCAGTGGTCGTTGGGGCTGAAGGGACCGTCAACAAAGCGTTCTCTGTTCTGGGTGGTCGTGGCGGGCAGATTGTCGACAGCTCGTCAACTGAGGTGGGCGATATCATCGAGGCTTGTTTGCCCGTGAGACGTTCCTTTGGGTTGGTTGGTGATCTCCATGGCGAAACGAAAGGCCACGCGCAATGCAGCTTGTCTTTCGCCGGTCTTCAGTCGGTGCCAAACCAAGATAGCGACGCCATCGTCATCGAAACGAGAACAAAAAGGAATCTCCCAACGAAAGTGCCGACCGCTGGACAATTCGTTGATAAATTCTGATGTGATCTGTGTCGACCGGGCTGAGTAACTCGGAGCAAACGACAGCGTTGGGCGGTGGCTGGCCCATCACAACGAGACCTGTCAACAACGGGCTTGGCCCGCACAGCAAACGATTCCAGCGTCGCTGGGCGGTGGCTGGCCCATCACAACCGCGCGCATCATAGTAAGTCAAACTACAACTGTAGGAATATGTCACAACAAGCAAGCTAGCTAGCATTAGCTCCCAACTGGTGGCCACTAGCACACAGTGTAGGCCTTCATCCTCAGCAGAGCATTTCCAACAAGTTGGTTTTCCTATTACATTATTATGTAATTATAAACTTATGCAAGCATTCGTTCAATTCACCTTTCTCTCATGGACACACAAACACTCTTCACATAAGACAATCATGTGTGAGCAGACCTCATTCCCACCGTTAGTCAACCTTCTTGGCCTTGCTCACAATCTTCATGTTGAAGTTGAAGGGTGTCACAACACTGATAAGGGCAAGAACACATCCAGAGGCCATCAAGGGAAGGCCAAACAGCTTGAAGAACAGCTCAATTCCATGGGCCAGCATTCCTACAAAACCTGTCAACATCAACACAGTATCCACAACACCAGCATTTGCAGAGGCAACATAGAGCTTGTCAACTCCCTTGGAGAAAGGCAAGAATGCTTCCTCATCCATATCCACCTCACAGAAGGCACTGTTGACATGGATACAGAGCAACCTCAGGGGAGAGGTGATCAAGTGGGTGAATGCCTGCCTGTGCATCAAGGGCTTTCCAGCAACCACCACATATTCATTATCAGTGTAGCGAGGGTTGTTGTAGCAGGAGGCAAGAAGACCATTGACAACAATGGTTCCATCCTCAGTGGCAGGAGAGAAGCCTCCCATGAGCTTGACAGTGTTAATGGCAGTCACTTTGGCGGCATGACCAGGCTCCATAAGGGACAAGTAGTCCCCAACCTTAACATGGCCAGCCTCCACAGGATACTGCTGGTCATTGATGTAGATCATGTGCTTGGGGGTAATCTCAATCTTGTTACCAGTGTCTATGACAATCTGGAGGTACTCTGACTCTCTGGCTTGGCTTGCAGCAACCTTCTCAGGTGTCCTGTGGAGCCAAGCATATACCTTTTGGAACTTGCCAGAGGAAGTCAACACCAGGTCATTGATCTTGAGCTCATCCATTCTCTTGGGACCATCTGGTGTCATGGTTGTCATGGAGGCGGAGAAGCAGTCCCAGTAAACTCTGCACACAGTGGAAGTTGGACATTGAGCATCAACATTCGTGTAGCTTCGGAAACCATAGTGGGAACCACCACTCTCAAGAAGGTAATCGCAATCTGTGTCTTCATTACATGTACAATGTTTCTCAATATTGACGGTAACGCAGGTAAAGTCACCATTGCAATCATCATCATCTTCACACTGGTCTGCCTCAGCTTCGGGCAATCTTCGGTTAGAATTTGATCCAGGATGAAAGCGCCCGACAGAGAACACACTGCAATTGTCTTCTTCATCGTCACAATCCAGCCGAAACTCTTGGTCTGGGTCAGATTCCATGTACATGTAGATGCCTTGGTAAAGCAACTTTCTGGGGCGACTTCCACCATCACCACCTAGCTTCCTCCTGTCCGCATCCTCCTCTTTCCTGCTGATCCCAGCAAGGTTAAGGGGGCGGGTGTACTCAACACCATTCACAGTCACCACAGCATTGCAATGCTCCGAGTTCTCCTGGAATCGGCTGTAGGCTGTGTGTACTCCACTCTTGGAAGCAGTTCCCAGGCGCTGCCTTCCTTCTCCATCTAGCTCATCAGACCTGTCCAAACCGCCGCCAACTTAATCTTGTAGCTTCCTCATGAGAAACCTGCGGGCAACACCACTATCCGCCTTGAGGTGAATCAAGCTGGCCTCAGGCCTGGTCTCTACCACATTGCCAGTATGGGAGTCCACCAAGTGTCCATGACTGTCCACTGCAACCTCCTTGGTGAGGGCCACGACTGCCCAGACAAGACCAAAAGACATGGTGAGGAGCAACATGATTGCCACCAAAGACAACCCAAGTCCCTTCTTGAGGCCCTTCTTCTTCTGCTTCTCCTTGTGCAGGTCTTCAGCAATGCTGAAGAGTTCTGCAGCATCAATCTTTCCATCACCATTGGCATCATACTTGACAAGCAGCTGTTCTTCATCATCCAGGAATCCCTTGTTGCCACGATCAAACTTTGAGGACCTGACAGAGAGGCGCTTGCTGGGCCCTGTAGGGCTAACCTTGACAGGCATTGGCTCATCAATCATCGTCTCAGCGTTGTTTCCGTTGGAACTCATGGTTGCTTGCTGTTTGTTCAGTCAGAGATTTACTTTGCCTGTTGTGTGTTGTTTGATTGTTGTAAGAGCTTCGAATGTTTTTGTTTGTTGAGCTTTTAATAGTTTCGAAGTTCGAAAGTATGAGACAACTTCAAAGGGAGGAGGACGAAGGCAGCTTGAAAGGCTTTGCGAAGCAAGTTTTTCAAAGAGCCGTGTACTCGCAGTATCTGCAGCTTGAAAGGCTTGCGAAGCAAGTTTTTAAAAAAAGAGCCGTAAGTCACACATTATTTTTCAATTTTTTAAAAATAGAAATTTAAAAGATTGTTCACCGCACAACCGCGCAACCACTCAAAAGAGTCGCACAGACACAGTACCATGTTGATGGTTAGGTATATATTCAGTTATCAAGGTACTGTACTACTAGTACTCCGTCCGGTATCTAGCTAGTAGCCGGTCCAACCAGCTCTGGCTAGCCACGGGATAAAGGATTTGTGTGTACGATGGATTAGAGAGAGCTAAGATGAGGATGGGGATGTTGAATGATCAAAAGAGCTGTGCTGCTTTATCATCCACGACTTACCAGCCCATTGACCCCGTACCAGGTAGTACCAGTATCGCACCCCAGACTCCCGAGTACGAGTATTTTAATTTTTAATTGCTTTTCAGCTTTTCAGAACATGAAGACGGCAAAGGGGGGATTCCATTGGGAGGTCAGCGGTACCTACTAGTCTACATGCACACGGACAAATAGCTTTGAAAATTTGCTTTGCCCGACGAAAAATAGGTTGCTCCACCAGATTTACGTCGTACTACCTACCAGAGTAGAAATGCAAGATGCAAGGGCTGCCATGAAGTTCATTAGCCAAGGAGATTCTAACGCTATCAATTTTACCTTGTAGGCGAGGAGGTGGGAGGCCCCAGTGGTTCTCCTTCGCCTAACTAGCTTGCTAGAGCCTACAGGTAGCTAGCTACGAACTCAGTGGGAGTTGCGGGGAACCGCTCTTGGAGCAGTTCCTTTTTGAGGGTCACCAGCAAATTGTGTTAATCTTCCACTTTGAGTCATGCTTCTATATTGTGTCATTCTTCCATATTGTGTCATTCTTCCAGATTACTTTTCCTGGTACCAATTGCTACTTGTTTTTACGTAGAGCCTTCCAGATTGTGTCTTTCTTCCAGATTATGTCATTCTTCCAGATTGTGTCATTCTTCTCTTTTCAGTCATTCTTCCAAAAGAAAACAGTTGGAACTGCCTGGTGAACAGGTAAAACAGGTATTCCCGCAACTCCGTAGTACCGATAACCGACACTCCTCGAGGAGTAGCCGCCATTGCTTCCAGCTTCCAGACCCACCAGTAAGAGCTGAGTTGCGTTATCATCTATCTCGATGACTTACAGTAGCTTCATTTTACCGAGCCGTTAAATGTGCAGTGTCTCCTAAAGACGGCATTCCGACGATATCACCTTAGTATTTGTTTTCTACCTTAGAGTACACCAGTATCACCTTCCGCCTGCGTGTTATTGTGTGTATGTGGTCATTTCTTTTGCTGTCAAAGTGCTTGTGCTGTCTCTCGATCCTACACCCTGCGAAGGGAGTCGTTTGAAATCTGTTACTCCAGTCTCCAGTACCAGGTGCCAGCTCAGTACTCGAGTGCTCGGCATGTCGGCATCTCACTTTGGGAAACACAGGACTGGCCATGGACCAAAATGTAATCCCGCTCCTTAAGGAGGTACCACCCTCTTTTAGTCATGAGTTGGGATTAACCAGTAAAATCGCGACAACAACAACAAAAAACCGACTTCAATCGCTGAATTGGACTGATTAGTTGAGTAGAATAAAGACCTCTGTTAAGGCTTTGACCAATACAAAGAGTACTTGTAATATAACAAACAAGAGTGCCCTGTCGGGTTGGACAGTCGCTGGGGCTTAGACTGTTTGGTTCAGTGTTAACTCTGAAAACTGCCGAAAATCGACCGCTAAGTCTGCTGCTACTGAGACCTATCGACCGGAGCCCCTGCAGCTGTCCAGCCAAGTCACTCCTTCTTAACAACTACTTTTCGAAGATTTAACTGAATGGTAGCTACTGTCAGAATTGAGTAGGACAAGAGCACTAGCCAGTCCCAACAGCAGCAATCGAAATCGTTTTGTTGTTGTTGTTGTCGCGATTTTCTCGAGTAATTTTGGGTTTCAACCAACTCATGACTAAAAAAACGGACAGACCGGGTGGTACCTCCTTAACGCCATTCGGAAACACAGGCCATATACGGCCCATGCTTAGATACTCGGGCCGTATACGACCCGAGTATACTTTGGTAAAGCGTATCTCTACTCTAGACACACAATCAGCAGTTGTAATTAGAACCATTCGAAAGAGCATGTAAAACTGTACAATATCATGTATTGGTCTCTTTATCCCATATCCTTTGGTTGGGAAGCTACAGTCACTCAAAGATGGCCACTTTTTCTCCAAAATTTACGGAAAGACCATCAACCATGATGCTATCCTCTTTCTTGACAGCTACACGTATCTGATCTTCACTCCAAGGCAGGGAAATTGTTCCTTATACTATTGGTTACGGTTGCTACTGTTGTATGGTGGTGTTCATGGCATGTTTGCAGTCTGTAGAAGCTTCGACAGGGACGACATAATCGACATGGCCAGTCCCGCCGATCCCACTTCTTCGAATCGATTGCACTCCCAATAGGGCCAGCAATGCTGCATCTCCTTTTGACCATGGATATTCGTAGTGTTGCTGAAGGGATACAAAGAGTCGCAAGAGAGGTTACTCGTCCGTAGCGCCGTCGTTCTGTCATCTTGATGTTGGTTGGAAGGCGTTGAGCGACGCAAAAGAACAAAAACGGCATTTTCCTGATCCTCTACCCTAATTTTTGCCTTAACCCCTGCTCAAGCTTACTTGTGGGCCATGTAAGCGGTGATGGTCTATGCTAATCAATAGGCATAGACCAAGTGGCCCATCCATAATTTTAAGCAAGGGTCAAAATTGCACTAACCTTACGCTTAACAGGGGCCGCCCCTGAATGGCGTTAATTTTAAAAAAGGCACGTTGATGCTGGGAGAAAGAAGTCATCAAGAGCTCCGGTTGGTCCCAGGTGTCCCGTGCGAGCAGTGCTATTGTACGGTACGGTACCAGATAGCCAGCGTTCCCCAGCAACCTCGCTGTTCATTTTCGCTTCACCTCAACCCTGGCAATTATCCACAACCCACAAAAACAACACTCTCACAATCCAACTCTTACAATCAACAACACACACAACAAGCAAAAGCGAATCTCTGAGTGAAAAAAACAAGCAACCATGAGTTCCAACGGAAACAACGCTGAGATGATGGTTGATGAGCCAATTCCTGTCAAGCTTGATACCAGTCCTTCAGGGCCGAGCAAGCGCCTCTCTGTCAGGTCGTCAAAGTTTGACCGTGGCAGCAAGGGATTTCTGGATGAAGAAGAGCAGCTTCTCAGGAAGTATGATGTCAATGGAGATGGCAAGATTGATGCTGGAGAACTTTTCAACATTGTGGCTGACCTCAAGAAGGAGCATGGAAAGAAGAAGAACCTGAAGAAGGGACTTGGCATTTCTTTGGTTGCACTTGTTTTGCTCCTTACCATGTCCTTTGGTCTTGTCTGGGCAGTCGTGGCCCTCACCAAAGAGGTTGTGGTGGATAGCAGTGGACACTTGGTGGACTCCCACACTGGCCTAGTTGTGGAGACCAGGCCTGAGGCCAGTTTCATCGCACTCACTGCTGACAGCAGCTTCACTCGCAGGTTTCTCATGAGGAAGCTTCAAGATTCAGTTGGGATGGATGCTGGCAGGTCCAATGAGCTAGACGAAGAAGGAAGAGAGAGACTTGGAACTGCTTCCAAGAGTGACATCACAGGCTCTTATGAGAAGTTCCAGCGTAACTCTGAAAACTGCAATGCTGTGGTGACTGTGGATGGTGTGGAGTATACACGCACAATGAACCTTGGACGCATGGGCAGACGGGTGGATGAAGTTGAAGACACTCGCAATCGCAATTTGAATGGTGATGGTGAAGGAGATCGCCCTCGTCGTCGCCGTAGGGCTCGATACCAGAGTATCTACATGGATTCCGACCCTAATCAGGAGTTCCAGGTGGACTGTGATGAGGACACCAATGAAGAATGTGAGGTATTCTCTGTTGGCTATTTTGTAACACCATCATCTGGCCGAAGATTGAGCCAAGTGTATAGTAACCAATGTAGTAGTGACGATGATTGCAATGGTGACTTTACCTGCAAGAGCATCTGGGGAGACAAACATTGCACATGTAATGAAGACACAGATTGTGATTACCTACTTGAGAGTGGTGGTGCTCACTACAGTTACCGAGACTACACGAATGTTGATGCTCAATGTCCAAGTTCCTATGTGTGCAGAACCTACTATGACTGCTTCTCTGCCTCCATGACAACCATGACACCAAATGGGCCCAAGAGAATGGATGAGCTCAAGATCAATGACCTGGTGTTGACTTCCTCTGGCAAGTTCCAAAAGGTATATGCTTGGCTTCACAGGACACCTGAGAAGGTTGCTGCAAGTCAAGCCAGAGAGTCAGAGTACCTCCAGATTGTCACAGACACTTGTAACAAGATTGAGATGACCCCCAAGCACATGATCTACATCAATGACCAGCAGTATCCCGTGGAGGCTGGACATGTTAAGGTTGGCGACTACTTGTCCCTCGTGGAGCCTGGTCATGCCGCCACCACCATGGCCGCCAAAGTGACTGCCATTAACACTGTCAAGCTCATGGGAGGCTTCTCTCCTGCCACTGAGGATGGAACCATTGTGGTCAATGGTCTTCTTGCCTCCTCCTACAGCAACCCTCGCTACACTGACAATGAATATGTGGAGGTTGCTGGAAAGCCCTTGATGCACAGGCAGGCATTCACCCACTTGATCACCTCTCCCCTGAGGTTGCTCTGTATCCATGTCAACAGTGCCTTCTGTGAGGTGGATATGGAGGAGGAAGCATTTTTGCCTTTCTC